CTGAGGGGGCGTGCTAGCCGAGGGCTGGGGTGGATATCTCGACTACTATTGCCTCTGGCCACCTCGAAACTCACCAGAAGGACCCGAAGACCTTGCTTTCTTTTTATAGGCCCTATCGTGCTCATGATCGGCCCTCTGTTTCTGTTTGCGCTCCTTTACACCCTGAGCGTATGCCTGAATATGAGAAATATCTATGTCTGGTTGAAGTGAAACTAGCATACAATCGTTAAGCAAGTGAGGCTCTAATCCCATCACGAACCGGTGAACCCGATCCTCCATCTTAGATGCAATAGTGGGAGCATACCTAGCCAATGAATCAAACTGAAGACTGTACTCCCGAACACTCATGTTTCCCTATCGAAGAGTCAAGAACCTATCAACTCTGGCTCGCCTAAGCTCTGGTGGTAGATAATGACGAAGAAAAGCTTCTGTAAACTCCTGCCACACTGCTGGAAGAGCATTCTCACCTCTGGACAATTCCCAAGACTTGTACTAATTAACTACAACATCTCGGAGTCTATAGGAAGCTAGATCAACTGACTCAGTCGCAGTGGCCTTCATTACATGCAGTGTCCTCTACACTCTATCAATAAATACCTGAGGGTCCTCATTCGGGTCTGCTCCAGTGAATACCGAAGGGTCTAAATTAATAAAGTCACGAACCCTCGCACTCACGGACCTATCTGCGTGACCAATTCTTACTTCCTGACGCCGAGCCTGTGCGGCTACTAATCGGGGCTATAACTGAACAACATCTCTCATCTCCTGACCCGACGCATCCGGCTGAGATGCTGAATGTACAGGGGCAGGCGCTGGAGCTGGTTCCCTTCGGAGCTCTTCTGGAAAAGGTGGGGTATATGAAGTTTGAGATGGAACCTCACCATGAGATTCTCCCCGAGCCCTGGTAACTCGTGGCGCTCGACTACTAGTCTCACCAGCCACGAACTTTCCCTTCTGGGTGGCCGTACTCTTTGGAGGCATTGCTGAAAATATAACGTATCATTTGGAACATGAATTCTTGTATTGCACGACCTGAGATAAAAAGAGAGGATAACATCCTATATGTCATGTAGCCTCCTGTTTATAAGTGTGGTGCAAGACACAACCATAAACAAGACTCTACTAGACACTGTCTATAGACAACCCTAAGACAGAACTGCTCTGATACCACTTTTGTCATGACCCAAACCGATGGGCCGCGACGGGTGCCTGAGTCCTATCTGTCAAACACCCCTAAGCACGCGTCTAAGATTTGAACATGTATAACATCTGCTGCATTACGAAAATAACATACGTGAAGTAAACCTGGCATCAAGGCATACGTACGTATACGTGCATAATATAGTGGGCGAGCCAGTAAGGCTGCTATAGACAATTATACATCCAAAACTGAAAGTCGACAAGGCCACA